GGATTAGATGCAATGAGAGATTAACCCTGTGATCGTTTTACAGTACATTTTCATTGCATATCCACCAACCCACAACAGAGAGGGAAAGAGTAATGACAGATAAAATCACTCACAGTAGGAAGGAATAAAAATGACTTCAAAGATGGATTTGCACAGATTGTTCTTTTTATTATCATTAACAGTAATGTGATACACATGCCTCCGGTGACCTTTTCACAGTATTACATATTCCCAGCTGACTCATTCATTAGTATGGCAGCGCAAACAGAAGGCAGAACTCAGCCATCCATCCAGAGCGAGCGAGAGAGCGGCGTGCGCGCGTGCGTGCGTGCGCGTGTCACGCAAGAGCTCTTAGCCCTGGAGGTTGGAGGGAGAGGCACTAAAGCGTTTCATTTGTGATTTGGCACATCTGACAAGATTTATCCGTGGCTGATCATATGCCTTCAATGAATACATTTTCCAGAATCAATGGGAGAGTACTGTAGAGCGCAATCAAAGGCACATTAATTGTCTGCTATCAAGAGCTCCATTTGGAAAAAAACGAAGCCCATCTGTGCCTTTTGCATCTGGCTGACAGGAGGAACACATGGTCGTTTTATATGTCAACAGCTATTAGCGGCGCATTTCAGCTAAATGACAAATAAAATATAGCGATAGGTTAATATATAGGCTATAGTGAAGCCACAGAACAGAAGCTCGGTCGACTGGTGGATCTTATGTAACGCGTAGCAGGCATCTTTTTTTTTTAAGGCGGCAATTAAAAAAGACGTACAACTTCAGGCCAAACTGGCGGCGAGTAACTGGCAGAAAACTTCTCCGGAGCACAGGCTAATGTGGTGGCTAGCGTGACTAACTGCAAAGCTCATTTCTTCTGCCGCGAATGGATTGTACGCACGTTGTTTCCATGCCTTGGCCCCATGTTTACTCGATGAGATTTTACACTTGAATGGCACTTGGTCTCTTTTTCTCCACTGCAATATTTCCAGTCATGGCCCCGTGTTCTCTCTCCCCCAGCTCCCAAGGCATCCGATTTTAACAAGCCAATAAACTCCGGAACGGGGTGACATACTAATAAAAATGTAAACTTCTGGATAGGTTACGGGTGACTGACAGTGTGTGAATGTATGTGTGCGCGTGTGTGAAAGAGGGAGAGACACAGTGAGAAAGTGTGCGGCTCTATCCTGGTCAGATGCTTCATTTCGAGAGCAGTGGAACATACTCCTGAGCCTCCTGGTTGGATTTGTTGGAATGTGTGAGAGGGAGGATTTTAGCGCCATGAGCCCAACGCCAAAGAGATGCAGACTTCACGCCATCTGTCTCCCCCTTCACTCCTCTACTTGCCAAACTTGCCTTTTTTCTCTCTCTTTCTCTCTGTGTCTCTCAATGCGTCCCCTTTCATCCCTCATCACACAAGTAAGGGACATTGAAGGATCAAGTCGTCGACTGCAGGGCTCCGGCAGTTGAAGCGCTTCGCGGTGATATTAAAAACCCCTCAGAGTTGTTCATTTTCATTAGTGGCCCAAGAAATGACATTTAATTAGACTGTATTAGCCTGCTCAGAGTATTGACAGCTGCATGAAAATAATTGCCTGTTCTTTCACCATATGACCAGCATTTTGCTGAAGGGAGCCACAGTGTTCATATGGGGAACGTTGTATGAATAAATATATGTTCTACAATAATTGGCCGTCTACTCTCTGCTCAAATGAATCATTTTTAAATCTCTCAGAAAGCAGTATGGTGATTTCAATTAAAGGGATGGTTCACTATGACTATTACTGTCATCGTTTTGCTTATTATAAATCTTTATGAAAGGATGCTTTGAGGAACGTTTTTTTATGAAGGGTTTGTGGAATTTTCCCAATTTGTGTCCTAAACATACACACTCTACAAGTTAAACTCACTGTTAAAATGCTGGAAAGTTTCAATCGAAATTTGGGTAAAATATAATCAAACCTGCAATCCTTTATAATAACTACATACTATAAATAATTTATCAAGCATTAGGAAATAGTGAATTCCTTATCTGTTAAGCATTAACTCTATATTATTATATAATAGTAAGTAATTTGTAAATATAGATACAAATGCTGTATTCTTGACTTTTAAGTACATTTACAATTAGCTTAATGATTGTATTTTCATACTTTGCTAACGATTAATTTTTCATTGATTAAGTATTGCATTATTTAATGATCAAAATGATCTTAATATGACCACATGAGTGTTGTCAGTCATTAAATGGGTGAACAAGATAAATGGACTTATTTGTTTAAAAAATAACTTACATTTCTTGTTAATTAAAAATGCAATGCAATGCAACATTGAACTTTTTCCCCCCCCAAAACCGTTAAACAAAAGCATTGGATTACATGTAAGAACAAAAAAAAAAAAAAAATTGTAGCTTTTGCCCACAAAATAGCATGACTAAAGCTAACAATCTTACTTTGCTCACATGTAGTGAGACAATAGGCTGTTTATTATCGTATGTTCATTGAAGGGAGGCTTCGAAATAGAAACTCCATGAACTGCACTCACAGAATGAGTTTACTTTTAGCATTGAATTTCGCTCCATGCTTAAACTACTTATTTAAAATTAGCTGAATTAACATAATTCTTAAGTTTTGGGGGACAACTTAATTGTTTTATGTTCAATTCACCTAAATTTGTAAAAACACAATTGATTTGGGTTGGGACAACACGAAGGAACTGTGTGGAACCCAGTATTTTTTTTTAAAAGTGACTCACTGGGTTAATTTTATTATAATTAATTTTGTACCCAATCATTGGGGTTGTCCATATTCTGCTCTAATGGAGGTTCAAACCCAAGATTATTTAGAGAGGATTCCTCATTTACTTCTACACTTAAAAAAGGTTTTGCTGCTTGTTCACAATACTTATTTAAACTCAATTCTCCAGAACTTAACTGTTTTATGTTCAATCCCCTTAAATTTGTTATCTTAATTGATATGTGTTGGCATATGAACTGTGAAGCCCTGCATTTGTACAGTGTTTAGTTTCCACAGATAAGTGACTGACTCAATAGACAAGGTCAATGGACATCTAGGCTATCATGTGATTGGAGAATTTGTAAAGTCCAACTTGGGTCACTTGTGCCTTTCATAATCAAATACCGGGCCGTGTTATACAAAGTAGTTGGTGCTAATTTAAGATAATTCAGAATGTGTAAGTTAATGATTAATAAACTATTTAAATTAACATTTATATCTTATTATTCAGGAGTATACTGTTAATTTGAACATTAATAAATGCTTTATTAACTCAACTTCATCCAGCTTTGTAACCTAATCTAAAGTGAGAACTATTTATGCTTTATAAATCCCTGATAAATGACAATTAAAGGCTCATTAAATGCTCATTAAAGGCTCAGATATATTCTAAACAGGAAAAAAAGGAAATAAATGACTTTATTCATTTGAAGATACACATATAAAACTGTATCAAATGAAAAAAAAATCTTTGCAACGTTATCGAAAATAAAGTTACTGTACAGTTTAAACATTGCTAAATTACACTGAAGTGTTGTATCATATTATATTGTTAAATTAATACATTGTTGTTGTTTTATCCAATTTTATTTAATTGTATTTATTGCTAATTGTATTTTGCCACTCCTGTTATTCAGCAATGTTTAAAGTTTACAATAATTTTACTTTTTAGATAAGATTGCAAAGACTTATTGTTCATTTGATACTGAGCCTTTAGTTGTCATTTATAAAGGATTTATAAAGCATATATAGTCCTTACTTTAGATTAGGTCAGAAAACTGCATGAAGTTTGAGTTAATAAAGTATTTATTAACATGCATAATAACCAATACCTGAATAATAAAAGGGTGACATGGTGGCGCAGTGGGTAGCACTCTCACCTCACAGCAAGAATTCGAATCGAGCCTCGGCTGGGTGGGGTTTGCATGTTCTCCCTGTGTTCACATGAGTTTCTTTGGGGTGCTCCGGTTTCTCTTACAAGTCCAAAGACATGCAGTACAGGTGAATAGGGTAGGCTAAAATATCAGTAGTGTATGTGTGAATGAGATTGTATGGGTGTTTCCCCATGATGGGCTGCAGCTGGAAGGGCATCCGCTGCATAAAACACGTGCAGCATAAGTTGGCGGTTGATTCCTTTGTGGTGACCCCTAATTAATAAAGGGACTAAACTGAAAAGAAAATGAATGAATAATAAAATATATAAATGTTGATTTGAATAGTTTATTAATCATTTACTAACTCATTCTGAATGATTCTAAAAGCCACCAACTACTCTCAAATACAAATGGTTTGTAAATAATGCAATACTGAACTTAATAATGAACAATTAATCGTTAATAAAGTATGAAAATGCAATCATTAAGTACATTAGAAATGTGCTTATAAGCCAAGAATACATGTTTATAAACTGCTTACTAACTTCTATTAATGCAAAGTTAATGCTTAACAGATAATGAACAAACTATTTGCTAACTAACTATTTGCCAGCATAAGCCACGGCGAATGAAGTTCTGCACAAGACTTTTGGCCAGCGGAGAAATTAAAATGGTCGTGCCCAACTGAGTCTGGTTCTCTCAAGGTTTTTTTTCTTCACTCCCATCAGGTGAAGTTTTTTTTCCCTCTCCGCTGTCGCCACTGCCTCGCATGGTTCAGGATTGGTAGAGCTACGCATCTATGAATTTGCTCTTCAGTGTTTGAACTCTCAGTAATGATTAAATCACACTGAACAGAGCTAAACTGAACTGAACTGAACTTAAACACTAAAACCTGAACCACACTGTTCCAGTTACTATGACCATTTATGTGAAGCTGCTTTGACACAATCTACATTGTAAAAGCGCTATACAAATAAAGCTGAATTGAATTGAATTAATGCTTAATAGATTATTTATAGTGTGTATTTATTATAAAGAGTTTTCAGTTTGTTTATATTTCACTCAAATTGGTTTGAAATAATAACCCTTTTAGCCAGAGAGTTATGACAGAACCTTCTTGTGTTGAGTGAAATTTTGATTTGATCCTCAATCCATACAAAACTCTTGCATTTTACAGCACTTCTTGAACATGAAAATGAACACAATGTAAATATGCAACATGCATTTAAATCTACCTGTGAACAGCTGAGACACTTTCTCTTCATCCTGTGATTGAGAAGAAAATCACAGCATCTCGTCTAGTACAATCCACACATTAGGCCTGCTCACGTGCATAAAGAGACATGGAATCAGTGTTGCCTCATTAAAACCAGACCAGATCCTCTCATCAGATGAAGCAAAGTGCTCTGATGGGCTTGACCTCTGGCCCTCTCCCCATGTGGGCTGCTGGGCCAGGGCAGAGCCAGCTCATTCCCTGCCCGGGCTCCAGTCAGTGTACCCAGCCAGCTGAAGGGGAGAGGAGGCAGTGGAAGCCCAGGCGGCCCATGACCCTCACAGAGCTCCAGGTGGCAGCGAGACAAGCAGGGGGCCTTTGATGCCGACCTCCGGTCATTCTGCTCGAATGGATCTTACCATTGATCTGGCCTGCCATGGTAGGGAGGGGTGCCAGGTGCCCCCAGTGTGGTAGAGGATGAATAGCAAGCTGGAGTAGGGCTGGAGGTGTGCTGACCCTACAGTTCATCGAGGCCAGCGTTCAGCAGCCAAACTGGAACGCCTGGCTTGTGGCAGACGGACATGATAGAGCTGGTGGGTCACGACGGCTAAAACAATTTATCTCTACTGCAACTACTGCTGCTGCTCTGTGATTTTATTTTTTACTTACACAGGTACTGATGACGTCTGTGGGCATCTGTTTTGAAGCAACCTGCAGTGGGGAAAAAAGGCACATGAGCTAATGTTATTGAAAATTGAAGGAATAAAAAATGTATGTATATATATATATATATATATATATATATATATATATATATATATATATATATATATATATAGATATATATATATATATATATATATATATATATATATATATCTCATTCTCAATCACGCTGACATTACTTATTCAAAAATCTAAATGTGAAATGAATGTTAAAATTGTTTGATGCTATGTAGCCCAATGACTTTTATCGAAGGGGTTAAAACACATTGATGAAATCATCAAGATATCTTGTTTTGTGTTCAGCATAATAAAAAAAAACACAACAGAAAATAGTTATCTTTAAGACTAGTAGGTTAACTTTAAAAACAAAATGTATTTAATGTATTCTTTCAAGAGGCAGAAATTAGCTAAATTTCTACCAGTACCAACAAAAAGATAAATGGGCATTAACTGCACATGCAGAGTAATCTTAATCTAAATCTAATACCGCAGTTAAAGTGAAACGTGAAAACATATAAAAACGATTAAAGGGGCTGTCCACTATGATTTCAGTTGATGTGTGATGTCGCTGTGCGAACATAAACAACATCTCTAAATGCAATAAGCTTAAAGTTTAATGCAAAGGGAGACACTGGCTTTTACAGAGTTAACTTAGCAAAGCCTACAGGGAACAAAGTTTGGGGACTACAAAAAAATACATCCGGGTTAGTGAGATCAAAAACGCTTCAGGTCACCGGCATTGACCATGCGCATGCACCCTGCGCAGTGAAGGGGCGTGGCCAGGCCTGCTATAATGTTATAGCAGACAAAGCTAAATTGGTGTAATTTTCCACAGAACTTGTTCTGTTTCTGTATTTGGGCTTCCAAAAGACACAACACAAAGAGAGAAGTGCTTGCAGTTTAATTTTAATTACAGTCCAGAGAATAATAAAAATGATATAGCTCTAGCATTTGACAAAGGACAGCTTCCAGAATCTCTCCCAGTTCAGTGCTGGATTCGGCTAAAAACTCCTGAAAGACGGAGCAGCTCCAACCATAATAGACGAAGTTGTGGATTGTAAACCACGACCTGTAAGTGTTTTTATTTGTTTAAATTGATCAATTACATGCATAGTGTCTAGCGTTATTGGTATGTTGTAGCAAGGATGTAAACAAGGATGTAAACAAAGGAAAATGCTGTTTGACACTGCTAACAATTTAGCTACAAATTCATATTTATCCATCAAACTCCTGTAAACGGCCAAAATTTTCAGCAGCACTGCAGTGTCTCTCTATGCGACTGCTTTCCCTGCATTCAACATCTCAAATAAACAATTATCAAATGATATGTGAATGTTTCATATTAATTACTTGCCTGTTCCTTATATATATATGAAAGACACCTGTGAGATTTTACTTTAGAGGGCAGGCGTGAGGCTAAGCTGTGTCCTCTTCATTTTCTGTCTGATTTAGGCTCAAACTGATATGACTAACAGCTATTCTGACTGAAAGTTACAAAGCAAAGGCACTGTACATGCTATTGAGGTGTGTTGCTTTTTCCTGGTAACGTGGAGTCGATCCGCTAATCAAAGCATAATATATTAGCTGGCCAATCAGAGCCTCTTGAGAGTGCGCCTTTCAGAGAAAATAGGAAATATGACAGTCGTTTTCATGTTAGCTGAGTAGCTGTATATAATCAAAGACATATATAATGTGATTTTCTACACATGAAGCATGAGCACACATTCCTTTGCATCTCATAAACACAACCAAGCCTTAAAAATACACTCTGGACCACTCCTTTAATTCACAACAATTTAGATTAGTGCTCATTGCATCTGCTTACTTCTTTCATATTTGCTGAGTGTTATAACCAATCACACATGTTTCCCACACAGACGTTTCCTAAAACACAAAAACAATAGCAATACTGATTCATGCCATCATGTGAAGAGATCCTGTTTCAAATGTAGAATTTAAATACAATTTGAAACCGTTTGTGGTTGACATTTTATTGGAAACTGTTTAAAGGGCACCTATTTTATCCCTTTTTTTAAGATTTAGGAAGAGACTTTTGTGTCTCCAGAATGTGTCTGTAAAGTTTCAGCTCAAACACTCATCAGATTATTTATGATACCCTTCAGAATGTTGAAATGTTCTGCTTTGAACACACTGTAGCTGTTTTTGTTGCCTGTGCCTTTAATGCCTTTAATGCTTAATCTAATGTTCTCACCACCCACTGTTCCCACGTGCCTGTCAGAGTGTGCCTACGGCTGCGCTTGTCAGATAAGCAGCACAGTGACAGACATGATGGAAGCAGATCTCACGTAACATTTGTGAGAAACACTACAGTAATAACTTTCCCAATGAATCTTTGATGTATTTGTTATGGAGTTAATTCAAGCCTTTCTGCAATGATGAGTCAAACACAATGTTGCTACAAAGTTCATGCACACAGACACTGTGCACTGTTTTTGCATGCAAATGTGACAGCATACATGTTAGCGCCCATTGCTGTATGGATATCTGTTAATAATGTACAAAATAAACCTGATTTAACGTCCACAAACCGGGATTGAAGTGTCTTCTTTTATAATTGTACAGAGTCTTGGCTGTGGTGATGAATTACAGCAATTTTACTGTCCTTTTTACAAACATGCACTGTTTTAAAAACTTTTAAAACTGATTCTTGATCACATTTGATGATGATTGATGATCACAGCGAGCTGAACAGATCTTTTAATTCCAGTTGGTTTGCACACAACCTGTCTTGTTGATATGATTATATGCATTATGATTGACTTGACATATTAATAAGCAGCTGTCAATCAATTCAGTGGGCAGGGAAACCACATTCCTATATCATGTTGTGGTGCGTCTCAAAATGGGGAGGATTTGGATCCTATTTTAACGTTAGAAAATTTTAAAAAGAGACTTATTGTGTTTATATCAACCCAATATGACAGTGGACACACTATACCTACACACAGTTCTTTCCAATCAGCTTAAAAAAGATGATTTTCATTATAGGTGCCCTTTAAAGCATTCTGGGTGGCTACAGTTAATAGCTGTATTCAAATACATGGCATAAGTTAACAGAATATAATTAATATGGTAATGATTTGTTTATTTTATATATATATATATATATATATAAACCAGTAAAACAACGTGGCACTTAAGATTTTAAATATAAAACTTAGTAATTTGTTAACAAAAAAACATTATAATAAGACAACGCTGTTCTCTACGAAGCACAATGTGTAATATCAACATAATTTATTTATTTTTAATCATTTTACTGCATTTTCTACTGAAATTCTCATTACCGAAACGTGTCCATGCATGTTTGAACGTTTGTTATGTTGTAATTTAAACAAATTAGCATAAAAATTTTTGAATAAAAACAAATGAGTTGTTTTAATAGATTATCTTGCATGACTAAACAAATAGTTTACAGAATATTCATGTATAATGACAATTAGAAAAAAATGAAAAATTAGGTGTCCGTGACAGACCTTCTTCATCTCGGGAGGCTTTTTCAGTTCATTCATAATAATTTGCTTTTGTATAATGTTATCATTAGCAGTATTAATTATTATCTACATATTTATATTTGTTTTATTAAAAACAAGCTTAGATTTGCCCACCTGTCATGTTTTAGACCATATGGGGCACAGCATGTGTTTTAGGATATAACTCAGGTTTTTGACCACACTTCATTATTATTGTTCATTTATTCTTTTGCTGGAAATTAGAACTGAATTTAGAAATAGTTTTGAAACAAATATTTGCGCTTAACAAACAAAATTAATTATTTACAGGCTAATTGATGTCTGTGGATAAAAGGTTTCCCTATTAGATCATGCATTACGACGCAAAGTGGATTTTTCCATCCTTATATTATCAAAAGTGGATTCTGACACGCCCTGAATGCGTTTGCGCCCTGCGCTTTGCATTTTGCGCATGGATCGTCAAAATAGAGCCCCGAGTGAGAAAGAGAAAATAACCAAATATGTCAAATATGAACATTTATAAAATATTTTGTTTGCAAAAATACTAAATCACCATGATTCTGAAAAAAGATGCTAAGTGGAAAAAACAAACACACTGCATCATACAAAATGTAAAGCCTTTCGTGTAGTCTCTTTATAGCCATATGTAGTTTTTATGGTAATCAAAATACAAAACTTTACTCTTCAAATCACTTTGTCAAACAACAAATATTGAAATCTTGTCAGAAAGAAGTATTTTAGCTTCTCTAGAAAGGAATTTCCAGGCAGCATTGTAGAGATAGTAATACTAGAACCTAGTGTTTGCACCGTGTCATTGCATGACCAGAGGGTGCTAATCTTCTTTTTGAACTTGTATTCAAATGGCAGTCTTTACTTTACCTGGAAATACCAAGTGTATCTGTCTGTGGACTGCAAGACGGGCGTAACATGAAGGTGCATGACTTGTAGTAAGTTAGAGAGGCGCAATTTGCAGTAATGGACAGTAACAATCCCCCCCAAACAAAATTCAAAATAATAAAAATATTACAGTGTTTCCTCTCGGATTTTTTCCAGCTGTGGCGGCAGGCCTTTTACACAAATCTATTATCAACCTGTGGCATTATTTTAATGACAAATGTTGTAAGCGCAGTATTAGAAGTCAAGATCGCATTTATGTTATAGCCTACAGCATGGGGATCTCTTTGCTTGCACGCCGATTTCCTCTGCTCGTGCACATACCCTTCTTCTTGCACACCCCCTTGAATATAAGCCACTTCAAGAGCATGCAGATCTTCTTGTGCGCTCTCAAATAAACGCTGCTGAAGTGTGATTTAGTGCGTTTATGTCTCTAGCGTTTATTAGATTTTCTAGGAATATTTATGAATGTCTCTAATAGACCTACATAGCGATATTAATATGTCCTGAAGTAAAGTGAAACAGCTACGTCGTGCTGACCTCACGCATCATACACCTGTCAGTCAGACAGTCAGCACATAACCTTAAGGGTAAACAAATAATGCACAGTACTACTACGGTTACAAAAAAGTTTGCACTTACCTTTTTAGTACGTTTTGGTGCGAGTATCACCCGCTATTAAAACAATAAAATGTTTTGAATGAGAAGCTGTAATGTAGCTGTGGCGGGATGAATTTTAGCGTGGCGTCCCGCCATGGAAGAATGAATGTAGCGGAAACCATGTATTATATAAAAATGATTGCTATATCATTTTAGCTAAATATAATAAGCTAAAAAAAACTGTGGGTACTTTAGTTGTTCATCTCTTTTTAACTGGCTAAGCCCACAAATTTGATTCCCGAACAAGGGACACCAGAGGGTTAAAGCTGTACTAGAGACCACACTATCTAGTGAGGATGATGATTTATTTCATCTTATCCAAGCAAGTGGACATTTTTCTTTGAAATTAAAGTTATGTTTTAAAGCACTAATATTTTACATTAAATGTTTAACAAAGTCTAATAATATACTTAAAATCAATGTAGAAATGATTAACCTAAATTCTGCAACCTATTTATCATTACCGCAACCAATGTTCCTTAAGTGATATTTTATTAATATTTTTTTAATCGTTTGCTTTTCAATGCATGTGCATAATCTATAAATTATGTCCTTTCAGGTTTTCCACATTATTTTGAAAACACATCAGGTTTTATCAAAATGCATTAAAAAAAGTGTTGTAAAAAATGTACGGTGTTTCGGTAATGAGAAAAAACAATAAAAATAAAAAACCCTGTTAATTTAAAAATAAATGTTATTGCAGAATCTCAAGTAACTCCACATCACTGTTAATAGTCCCTTTTTAAAAAAATGTCTAAATGAATTTGCTTTTTTGTAATCAATTTAGCAGACTGTTGCGGTAATGAGATTTTTTATCAATTGTTTTGGAAATTATGCTCAAAAAGGTACAAAATGATGTGTATATATTTTTAAATTAATGTTGACAAATGCTCCAGACTTTGTTTCAATTATCTGCAAAACCAAAATTTAATTTAAACATTCCTTAAAAATTCATGTTTAAAAATTTTTAAACTACGTTTTCGTGAGAATCACCCATATATATATATATATATACACACACACACACACACACACACACACACACACACACACACACACACACAGACGCACACACACAGTCCCTTAAAGAAAAAGTTATTTTCTTACCCTGATCCTCTCACATCTAAATATAAATGACACTTCATCAGATTGGCACTGAAACACAAAAGAGAAAACATACAGAGACAAAACCGTTAATTTTTCATCTAAACTAAAACAAACAGTAGAGAAAAACAATAAAAATGCATGCAAAACGTTTCACCCCAGGCTATGTAAGTCTGTATTTGCTACATCTATGTTTACACAAACACACACATCAGTTCATAAGCACATATTCTAAGCAGGGTGTAAAATCCTACCATTCCCTCTGGTGCTGCCATAACATTGGGAGGGAAAGCAGATTAAAAAAGAAAAAAACAATGCAAGAGATAAAGTCTTGTCACCTGTATTCCTCAGCCCCTCATCTAGTAGTCTACATGCCCTCTAATCGCCAGTCCCTAAACCCGGCCCTGTAGACCTGCATTAAAGACTGAGAGGAGAGCGGAGGAAAGCAGCATCCAAAAAGTCAGAGGTAGCCTGTGTGGTATTATTAATAAGGCATTAAAAAAGAGAGCACTTCAAAGCATACAGGAGCCATGCTATCGTACATGAAAGTAGCATAGTATGGCTTAATGTCTCCTAAGGCGTCTTACGGTGATGCAGCTTTGATTTGAAATGCATTGTGTGGCAAATGGATTTGCACTAGTGGAGCGTGAGGACGCGTTGTGGGAACACGCCAATAATTTAAAACCTGACCTCACAAGCTCTTCAAAGCATCCGTGAGTGAGGATGTTTGGAACTCGATGATGGGGTTTCACTACACAAACAAACCTGACCACACTTGGAGGTTTCCTGTGTTGTTGTTGCTGTTGGATTTTTTATTTTTTTTTTTTTGAGGTGAAGATGCTTTGCTGTTACTTTTGGAAGTAGTCATATGGATTGCAGTTTGCGAGAATAATGTAACCTGGAGGAGAAATGTATCTCCACTCAAACACCAAGCCTTAGCCTCAGTCTTAGCAGAATAGAGAGGCTCTCCACAGCACCGCATGCTGTTCTTACAGAGGATGTCTTAATCACTGAGGATAATCAGGCTTATTTAGGGACTCGGAATTATGGGGAGAATTTGGAAATGATAAGCAAATGAAGCCATTATAAAGCTATGTCAAGGAGGTGGCGCAGCAGATTAGCCTACGAGCACTTTTCACTACGCGAACAACGCCCTAGAGTACCAGGTCGTTCTTCCAATAGGACTCAACTGCTGTTTGACAATGCTAAATGTTCCCACCTTGCCTCTTGGAAACAAGATGCTTACAGACGGATTGGGGGTGGGAATTCTGTCTCACGTTTGCTTCCCCTGGCAAATGACACACTTCATGGTTAAAAAATGTTGGGTCCCTGAACAGACTTCACAGTTACAGTATATAAATAAAATGTGTGGCATAGGGACAAAAATGGTCATATTTAATCCCACTTTGAACCCCAATGAGGGAATTGATGAAAGCCTTCCCACCCCCGTGCCTTCTGTATCATAATTGTTTTGTCTTTTCCAAAATGTCATGAACACTAAGTACGCAATTGAGAACAAATGACCTTTGTTCATATAAAATGATAGGACTCTGAATATCCTCTCACAACCCCAAAGCACAACGTCAAGTCAAACAACGTCTGGCAGAATGGGAAATGTGACTCAAATTCAAGGGGTTTATCAGATCCGTATGCTTTTGTCAAAAGCAAAGACCCCCCACCCCCCCCCTCCAAAAACCAAAATAATAAAAAAAACATTTTCAGACAATAAATACTAACAGATTCAGGCATCATGCTAACCACGAAGACATAAATGTCCACGTCTCGATCATAAATAGAAACATCAGTTACAGCAAATTACACCAAAACAATAAAGAGTTTGTTTTGATTTTCCCCCTCTTTATCCTGTATATTGTCCGTCCATTATTTTGATTTCCCATGTAAACTCGGCTCTGTGGGATGTTGTAATATTCTATAGCCCACAGATATTGTTTTCGATATCCCTGCTTTTGTTTACTTATGTTGTCGGAACACACTATTTTTTTTTTACACCACAGGACACACCAGCAAAGCATTATTCCTCTGTAAGCATTAACTTCAAAATGTTTTCAATACACATTTCACTTTATGTAAAAATTCGAAATAAGACAGCTCTGTGGGTGCCCCATGACCCTGAAAATCCACTGCAGCTCTATTATTTGTCTGGCAAGCTGCAGGCGTCCCAAGTTTCTTAGGAGATAAGCAGTCCTGGCTCTATCAAAAAAACACAAAGCTTAATGTGTCAGAAGAGGATGAGGAAAAAAGCAAAACGAGGAGATTTGTGCGAATCAAAATGACTAAGACAGAGAAATGAAGTAGAAAAACAGGATAAAAGAAGACCGTACGCTGGCAAGTAACCCCAATAAGCGTTTTTTGTTGTGGGGTAAAATATATCATCCCGTGCATCCAAAGCAATATTTGCACTTCACTTAAGCTAACGTGTTTTAGAGCATATTGTCAAACCTGAGCACAAAAACAATGTGCTGATTCAATGAAACGTTTGGACATGGGCGATTAAAAGGGCTGCTTTTTTGGGGCAGATGAAAATCGGGGTATTTCGAGGGGCTTTGGGAACAGGGAGGGAGACAGGAGGAGGGGGAAATGAAAGGAAAATGCCAGTAGTGCCCACTCAGCTATTTTCCCAGTCAAGATCAAAGACAGCGCTGGACTGGCCGCACCGCGGGAAACTTGAAATGTGCCCTGCCTTTGTTTGCTGTTGCTAGGAGACTTGGAGACAGCCAAAAAGTGTTTTCAGAAAGCTACAGGATCAAAAACAGTTCAAAAATAAATCACATTTTTAAAGACTGTCATGTTTGAGACCGAGCATTGCAATTTACTAGACCATTCAATATAAGCACAATAAATACAGTTTTATCTCTATCGTAATTAGACAATCCCTTTTCCTTTGCTCCCTTTTGGAGAAAAAGCTGTTCAGTTTGTCTTCTTTTTACACATGTAAGCTGTCCTGCACTGAAAAAAGCGATTAGTTGAAAAAAGTGAGTAAACTGATTGGCTTAAAATTATTAAGTAAATTAACTATGTGCATATTTCTAAAAAAAAAAAAAAAAAAAACAAGTTAAGTCAACTTAACATTTCTAAGTTACAACGGAAATACTTGCATTATTTAAGTAAAGTCATTTTTAAGGCAATGGATTTACTCACTTTTTAAGCAACTGTTCTTTTACAGTATATGTGCATAATTATGAAAGTTAAGTCAAGTCAATGAGTTTCCTAACTTTAAGTAAAATCAACTTTTGTCATCTTTAAGTCAATCGGCTGACTCGCTTTTCCCAACAATTTTTTTTTTACAGTGTATGTGCAAAATTCTAAAAGTTAAGTGAAGTCAATGGGTTTACTCATTTTTTCCAACTAATTGCTTTTAAGAAAGTGTGCATAATTATGAAAGTTAAGTCAAGTCAACAGGCTTACTTTTTAAAGTAAAATAAACATGTAATTTTTAAGTTAATCCATTTACTCGCTTTTTTTAACTAAAATAAACTTGGCATTTTTAAGACAATGGGTTTACTCACTATAAGTAATCGTTTTTACAGAGTGTACAGCACACTTAAAAACAAGGCTTTTTGGTACAAGAGGAAAAAATTATTAGTTCCCCAAAGAGCAGTTCTTAAAAACATATTTCTCAGTGTTACAAATATTTTAATGCTCTAAAAAAATCTTTGGAATGAAAAGGATGTTAAGGGTTCTTTAAGAAATCACTGATGCAAATAAAGAGCCTTTTTTTAAGAGAGAAATGCTACAGTAGTGAGTATGGATGTTTCCCAGTACTGGATTGCAGCTGGAAGGGCATCAACTGTGTAAAACATATGCTGGATAAGTTGGCGGTTCATTTCGCTGTGGCGGTTCTTGATGAATAAAGGGGCTAAGCCAACAGCAAATGAATGAATGAATGAATGAATGAATGAATGAATGAATGCTACAGTGCAGTGGTGCATGAAGCTCTGGAGTAACTGAACCAAACAGACAATTAATAATTATTCATGTCTGAAAAACTGAAATGACATACCATATAGTCCATACACAACCCAAATTAAAACACAAATGATGTGTTGTTGATGTGGTGCACAGTTATGTAAAATGTGTTAAAATATTAAAAGAAACACTACATGTTAAGTTTTACTATGGGTAAAACTGGTGTCACGGTGGCGCAGTGGGTGCTCCAGTTTCCCCCACAGTCCAAAGACATGCGTTTTAGGTCAATCGAATGAGCAAAAATTGGCCGTAGCATATGTGTTTCCCAGTGTTGGGTTGAAGTTGGAAAACATCTGCGGCATAAAAACATAGGCTGGATAAGTTGGTGGTTCATTCTGCTGTGGTGACTGCTGATTAACAAAGGGACTGAGCTGGAAAGAAAATGAATAAATGAATGGGTAAAACTCTTGGGGATTAATTTATTAATTTAACATGATTTTTTTTTTACAAAATCATACTTCATTAACATGGTGATACACAAATATTGACACATCCATTCAAGCATTTCATACAGTGGCTCAAAGAGTTCATCCATTTACAGAGGATTTAAATTACAAGTGACATATACACTCACTGGCCGCTTTATTAGGTACACCTGTCCAACTGTTCGCTAACGCAAATTTCTAATCAGACAATCACATGGCAAAAGCTTAATACATTTAGTTGGAAATGGTCAAGATGAGCTGCTGCTCAAACCGAGCATCATAATGGGGAAGAAAGATGATTTAAGTGACTTTGAACGTGGCAAGGTTGTTATTACCAGATGGGATAGTCTGAGTATTTCAGAAAATACTGATCTACTGGGATTTTCATGCAAAACCATCTCTAGGGTTTAAAGAAAATGGTCTGAAAAAGAGAAAGTATGCAGTGAGCAGCAGTTCTGTGGGTGCGATTGCCTTGTTGATGCCAGAGGTCAGAGGACAATGGCCAGACTGGTTCGAGCTGATAGAAAGGAAACAGTTACTCAAAAAACCACTCCTTACAACTGAGGTATGCAGAAGAGCATCTCTGGACGCACAACATGTCCAAGCTTGAGGCGGATGGGCTACAGCAGCAGAAGACCA